TGTTACCCACCCTGATAAGCGAGGCACATGGTCTTACACATTGTGGGAGCAAACAGATGAAAAGACATCTGACACACTGGTGGCATCCCTACTTGCCAGCAATGATAGAAAAACATGTGAAGGAGTGCTCAACTTGTACAGAATTTAACATAAAGAGCACACTCAAGCCACATGAGGGAGTGTTCCCCATCCCACCAGGGCCAGGTCAGGAAATAGTAATAGACTACACTGACATGATAAAAAGTGTTAGAGGCTATAGATATCTGCTTGTGGTAGTGGATTCATTCTCCAGGTGGGTGGAGGCCGTTCCTACTAAAAAAGAAGATGCAAGATCGGTCATTAAATTTCTGATAAATCAGTACATTCCTGTACATGGGTTTCCTAGGAAAATTAGATCAGACAATGGAACTCATTTTAAAAATCGTGACCTAGAAGAGGTAGAAAAAGCACTAGGGCTGAAACATAAGTTTGGCTCAGTCTATCATCCACAGTCACAGGGGAAAGTAGAAAGGATGAATCAGCAGATAAAAATGAAGTTAGCAAAGATGTGTGCTGACACAAAATTGACATGGGTAGATGCACTGCCCATGGCCCTGATGGCTATCAGGAGCTCAGTGAATGCTGTAACCAAGTTTACACCTTTTGAGCTTTGCACAGGATACCAGTTTCCTGGACCGACAGCCAGTCTGGATCTAAAGGGGGACTCTGGAGAGAGGATCAGGTATAAACCATACTATGATCAAGTGCAGTGTCTTGTGTCAGCTTTTTCTAAACAGGTGACAGGAGGAGAAGGAGAGGTTAACCAGAACCCGCCCTACACAGCGGAGTGGGTCCTGTTGAAGGTCATCAAAAGGAAATGGTCAGAACCTCGGTGGACGGGACCGTACCGAGTGACAGAGAGGACATCACATGCTGTGAGATTAGAGGGAAAAGGAGACACGTGGTATCACTGGACGCAGTGTGCTGCAGCTCCAGATCCCTCAAGGAACTAGAAGGCGATTGAGAGGAATGTGTGTAAGGTGGCCTCTGGGAACAGAGGCCCGCCTGTGTCTTGTTGAGTAAAATTGTTAAAGTAATACATTAGGATTAGTTTTAATATTAGACTGAATTAAGAACGTAGTTAGTAGAAGATTGACACTATGTTTGTTGATTAGTTAACTTGTTTGTTTACTGTGTGTGCATATGATTATTCTATCATATTAAAAAAATGAATAATTAGGATTTAGTTTAGAGCATACATAAGTTTATATATTTTACTCTCACAGTTGTGTTTATGTTTATGTAGTTACATATCACCTTAAGTCTGCATTGAATCACTGGTCAGTATTTACTGTGTTAGCCAACTGGGGACTGTTTAACAGCAAGGGAGACTGATTCACTAAACACTGAGAACTCATTAGATTTACAGCTTTAGCAAAGAGGGTTCACAGTTGTTTTATGATCACCACCTGGCTGAAGAGGCCAGGGAATTTGGGGTCACTGGGACACTAGGGGTAAGAAACAGAGATTAGATCTGAGGCCAGGAAGAGAAAAGACAACTTTAAAAGACAGGGCCATATACAGACACACAGGCAAGATAGTTTAGTAGCCAAATGGAAAGCCATGTTTTATAGAGTGTAGTTAGTTAGTTGGAAACAAAGAGGTGAGTGTAGGAATTTTAGACAGAGTAGGATTTCCTCTCTCTATAGGAAGCTGC